AGCGGCTGGGAGGCCGCGCCGCGAAGGCGCTGAGGGAGGGGAGGCCAGGCCGGGAGCCGCCAGGGCCCGCAAAGGATCCGTGGGGATCCGACCCGGGTGTCCCGGGACACAACGGGCTGGGACTGAGCCAGCAGGGCCCTTGCGGCCTAGAAACCCAGTGAAATCCTGGGGTACACTGCCAGCAGGTCGAAGGAGGTGGTCCTACCGGTCTACTCAGCCCTGGTGAGGCCACATCGGGAGTGCTGTGTCCAGTTCCGGGCCCATCAGTACGAGAGAGACTTGGAGCACCTGGGGCAGGTCCATGGGAGGGCAACAAGGTTGGCTGGGGGTTTGAAGCATCTTTCTTATGAGGACAGGCTGAGGAAGCTGGGCCTGTTCAGCCTTGAGATGAGATGACTGAGATTGGACTTCATTAATGTGTATAAATACCTAAAGGGTGGATGCCAAGGAGATGGAGCCAGGTTCTTCTTGGTGGGGCCAAGCAATAGGATGAGAATGGCAGAAACTGATGCTCAGGAAATTCCACCTGAATATGAGGAAAAGCTTCTTTACTGTGTGTGTGGTGACTGAGCACCAGAACAGATTTCCTGAAGAGTTTGTGGAGTCTCCCTCACTGGAGATATTCAAGCACCCTCTGGATGCAGTCATGTGCCATGTGCTCCAGGGTGGCCGTGCCTGAGCAGGGAGGTTGGATCAGATGACCCAGTGTGGTCTCTTCCAACCTGACCCACTCTGATCTGTGAATTGCTGTGAGCGCTGTGGCATCCATCAAGGCTGAGCTCTGCCTATGGCAGCAGGACTGCACTGGCTGTGTGTATGTCTCCAATCACAGGATCCTTTCCAGTGTGTCCCTGTATCCATTGTGATATATGTCTCTGCAAAATTGCAGTATACATTGTTACTCAGCAATTACTCAAAAATATAAAGCAGATCCTTAAGTGTGCAATGGCTAAAACTTGGCAGCTACTTCCAAGCTTTGGGGTCTCTTGAGGTTTGGAGACACTTGTTGAGCAGAGCTCTTGCTTTCTCTGCCAGTGGAAATAGGGTGGTTAAGTACTGGAATGGACTGCCCAGGGAGGTGATGGGGTCAACATCCCTGGTGGTGTTCAGGAAACTACTAGTTGTGGCACTTGGTGCCATGGTCTGGTTGACAAAGTGGTGATCAGTCAAAGGTTGAACTAGAAGATCTCAAAGGTCTTTTCAGCCCTGAATGATTCTATGATTCTGTACAACTCATGCATTGTTTGTTCTGGGACTCACGGAGCATGACCAGTGTACAGGAGACAGCAAGTTGTTCCCTTCCTTGCAGCAGAGGAAGAGACCATAGCCATGATGCAATGAAACCTGTTGGTCTCTCACAGTAGTCCTGACCAGAATGGTTGCAGACAAAGGAGTCAGTGGAACACACATGAATTAAACATCCAGCATGGCTTTGGGCCTGTGTTGTCCTGCACAAAACCCTTGTCCCCACAGAAGAACCTCAGCCCATTGTAAAGGAGAAAGTTGCTGGCTGTCCCACTTCATACCATGCAGCAAGGAATTCTCATGTGCACATCCTTTCTGTTTGACAGCAGAAATTAATGGATTTTCTTTCATGCAAGAAAATCCTAGAACAGCTTGAATGACCAAAATGAGGTAACCCTTTCTGCAGACAGGGTCTGTATGATGCAGTGTACTTGCACTGGAGGCCCATTCAAGGCTTCACAACTTAAGGCCCCCAGTATCAATAGGGAGGTAAGATTATCTCTCTTCCTTTTATTTTTATATATTGTTTTATAAGAGATACTGTCTCTGCCTTCATTTTTCCATCTCGAATAAGAGATGGTACTGGGATGGTAGCAGTCCAGCATCTCCTGGTGCAAAACAGCTCTTCACTGCATTTCTTTAACAGTAACCACTGCTGCTTTCAGGCAAGCTGTGAGTGGGGTTTCAGAGAAGCAAAGCTTCTCCAGGATGGCAGTGTCTCTGCAGTGCCTTGTGAGTGTGATGTAGCAAGTGTATTGCTGTGTAAAACACCAGAGTATATTCATGTTTTTTATGTCTTGCTTGTAGCTGCAGCACCAAGGAATGAACATCATCCCACTTGAAGATGCTCTACAACTGGCATCTCCTGATCTAGTGTAATATAACTTCAGCTTCTTCTCATCCTCTTCATAAACATCTGTCTTCATCTTTGAAATTGTACAGTAATTGTAAAATGCTGGCTGCAATAAACGAAGCAGTTTTCATTTTGCAGAAGGGGAAAGAAAAACTTACCCTGAGAAGTATCCCTCCACAGGTGTCACTTGAAACAGGACAATCCTGGCCAAGGGTGGGAAGAAGATGCAGTCTCTCTGAGGAACATGTAGAGCAAGAAGCAAAACCACTTCTGAGAGTGTTAAGGACTAAGTGTGTGAGACCTGGACTGTTCTCACCTTGCTATAAGGTGCTTTGCCTTCCAAGGACATCTTGTCCTCAGCACTGTCTGGGATGGTTGCTACAAAGTTTCACTCTGTCTAATTCTGTAAGTACATACCTACATACATACAGGTGCCATAGGTACAGGTGCCTGCAGTGCCCCCCAAGCATGACAGATCTCCACAAAAGCCCCTTTTGAGGCTGACTTCAGGTTCCCCAATTTTTGACCTTGGCAAAAATACCTAGGTGGAAGACAGCAGTCCTGCCCCACCACCTCCCTTGTCTGTGGCTTCCTGAACCTTCAGGAACTGAACTTCAGTTGCAGTGACAACTATCTTGGCCATGGTGCACTTTTGTTTTGACTTGCAGGAAAAGATTCAGGAGCTGTTGGGATGAGTGAAGCAGGGAGCAAAGGGTTAATAGGGATAAAGAGAGGGTGACCTACTGTACAATCACCTTGACTGTGTACTGTCCTGGGAAGCACCAGGAACATGGGGGGCACTGAACTTCAGACCTGATGAATCTGGCACTGCTCCAGGATCTGAACTTAGATGAGGAATCTGTTTTCAGTGGCCTTAGACAGCCACAAGTGTCATCCAGAGCAGCTGGAAATGGGAGAAGGAAACTGCTGGATCTCAGCATTCAATCTGGGACAGAAGACATTTTCTCCCGTGCTCAGCATCTGCCCTGGACCAGCCAGTAGGAAAATCTTCACATTAGTTCCTTATATCTGTATTATAATTTGTATCACAGAGATGCAGCTCATTTTACTGGATGTCACTTTCATGAAGATTAAAATTTTTTGTTGTCTGTGCCAAAATCCTAATTTCTGTATAGAAGCTGGTGTGAAAAAGTCTATTTCTCTGGCTGCAAGCAGCCACCAAAAGACTTCATATTTGCATTGCATCTGCTCCAACTGGAGGTCAGCCCTGCCTGCTCATACCTTGCAAGCTTTGCTCTGACCCATTCCAGTTTGGATTGTTTTCTGTGACAGTGTGTTAAAAAATGAATTTGTTTTTATTAAAGCATATCAAAACCAAAGTAGATTCAATTTTAAATAATTTAGGACGATATAACCAGTGTATTTTGGTGTTAGAGCTCAGAAGTAGTGTTAGGTCGAAAGAAGTGGTGACAAATTAATGGATAGAGCCTGTTGGAATCTTAATGCTTTTTAAGATGCCAGAGATGAAAGCTGATATATTTAGCAATCAATGCTATGAAATTTCAGAAGGCAAGAATTAGTTTCTTAGAAAGACATGAAACTGAAACAGTCCCACAGTCATCAAAAAAGTGTAGTGAGTTTTTTTCCCTTGAGACACAGAGGATCATTTAATTAAAAAAAACAAAATCAACAAGTAGAAGAGCTGCAATCTTACCAAAATCTTTCTTGTGCTGGGAAGAGGTGGCCTAAGTGTCAGTAAACAATATGGATTTTTGAATGCTTTGTTTCTAATTAGAAAATCTATTTTCTTAAATGCAAATATCTATCTAGTTTTGGGTCTGATAATATAAATCTAATACATTATTTTACACATAAGAAAGAAGTCTTTTATGATGAGGTTGGTAAAACACTGGAACAGTGCAGGGAGGTGGTGGCAGCCCCATCCCTATAAACATTCAAGATCAGGTTGAATGGGGCTCTGAGGAACCTGGCCTAGCTGAAGATGTCTCTGCTCATTGCAGGGGGAGACTGGGCTAAATGATTTTTAAAGCTCCCTTCCAATCCAAACTGTTCCAATTCTATGATACTTGATACCATTTTGAAGTCCTAGCCACTCATTACCTGCAGCATGTGCTTACTATTCCAACTCAAATATATCAGGAACCTCAGAAAATATATTTGAAACTTATTTGTAAGTTGCTATTGACCCCTTCAAAGTCCACATTGCTTTATTTGCCTTGAGCAGTTAAAAGAGAGTATTAAGAAATAGTAAATAAGATTTAAGAAATAATTGGAGCATGGGATTGATGGGATTGTAGCACAGGGGATGCAAATAAAGCCTGGCTGGCACAACACTGTCTACTGTGCAAAACTAGAACCCAAAACCATGTCCTGTAACATGAGACATGGCTGTAAAAAAGGCAGAGATCTGCTACACTGAAGGACTGAAGATTGATAAAATCAATTTGAAAGCTTAAGATTATTAGGGTTTTAGACTGCAGCTCAAGCAGAATAGGAGGTTAAAAGATAAGGATTGCTTGAACAAAAAAAGTTTGATTTTTTTGTTTGTTTTTAAAGAGAAGCAAGTTGAACAGCATTCCAGTACACTACTACTTTAATAGAATTCCTTGTAAAAAACAGCTGCATTTTTTTTAGGTGACATGCCTGTATCTGGAAATGTATTCTCGTTTGTCCTTGAATAATTTCCCATGGTGTGCATGTTAGTGGAAAATGGCATCTTTCACCCTTCTTATAGTTTTTAATGCTGAACTTCAGCATAGTTTATGACAGTTTCTCAAAAATGTTTCCAGTTGCCAAGAAAGAGATAACTGAAAGAATGCAAACAAATAACCTTGATTCACAGACCTCTGCTTCTTTTCAGCTTGTCTTGACAGGCACACAGAGTGTCCAGGCAGTTCTTTCAACCCTTATCATTGCAGAATGCAGACCCACGCTTCTTGCAGTGAATTTCTTGCTTCTTTAGGATGCAGAATAAAACATTAACATAAAATTTGTGCAACAAAGGTTGGCTGTATATCAACAGCAGTAGAAATAGTACTGGCAGAAAACCTATTTGCAGAGAAGGAGCTGCTTTGAGTTAATGCAGTGCCTACCTAACCCCCACACACAACCTCCCCCCCCCCATCCCATGACAGAAAAAAAGGTCTCAGACTCATGTTCCACTGAATCAGATTATCCCATATATAATTCAGGACAGTACCTGACATAGGATCACTTGTTTAGCCACAGTAATTTTATTCTGAGTTGGTCACTGATGGTCCAGGGTTTGGTGAAAACGTGCTTCTATGAGTAGAACAGCTGCTCAACACTACATGTCACATACCATTATACAAACCCTCAGGCATTTGCATGAGGCAAGAGAAGTTTCTGCTGGACAATATTACCCCAATAAGGATTTTTTTTTCACCCTAGTTTATAGTGCATTTTTATGAGTTCTGAAGGAGAAAGCATGTTCTGGAAGCTCACGATGAGAAAATAACTTTGAAGTATTTACCATCCCCTCATCACACCCTGTGTATGCAGTCCTGTCAGGTAAGGAGTTATTATTAAGTCCACTTGATATGGCCCTGGAGCACTCAGATGAACAGCATGATTTGTGCAAGATCCTATAGGACATGCCTGATAGAATTTGGAATAATTATTTTTTGTCAGTATGTTAACCATAATATCACTTCTCTACCTAGAATATGGCCATTTATTTCTATGGACCATAAAACACTCATAGTTGCATTTCCTAGATAAAAAGAAATACTGTACAAGCTGAAGTTTTGTTACCCTCCAGGTCTTACAGGTGAAAAAATGGTGAGCATTAAATACTTGGAGTTCCCTTAATGCAATGTGTGTATGGGAACTTCCTCTCCATTGGTTTTCAACTATTCAAATTCCTATTCTTCCTTTTATACCTGAACTGGTTTAACAAGATTATCTTCCTGTAATGACCACTGTGGTTTGTTCTCACAGCTTGGGACCATCCCATTTTTGGTTCTTTTAATTTTGTTCTAGGATAGCAGATAACACAGTTAACGGCAAATAACTTCCTGTTGTCACAATCACCTAAAGGGAACCTAAACCAAACCTGACCACTGCTGCATGGTCACTACTAAAATCAACCAGAATCAGCTTGGGCTAACATAACCCAGACAATGAAACCTCCCCTGTCAAGCTGATGCAAATCCTTCAGGCTTTCATTTGTAATAGCAAAAATGGTATTTACTTGACTGCAGATGAAGCCCTGATTCTTAGAGAGGACATTGCTGCAGGCAAGACAGCTTGTATTTGTCTTTGCAGCTGTACCAGAACATTACTTGTTATCTCTTTGTCTGGCATTAAAAACTGTCACAAGTAGAATGTTTATGCAAATTAATCATGTCACTATGAAGGCAGCATTTTCCATGGTCCTAAAATGGTATAAAGATGGAATTTTCAACACCAAATTTATGCCAACTTTTCCCCCCATTACAGTAAGAGCATCATTCCACAGTGTTTAGATTTTTCCAAGCTACTGTTCATGATGATGGTAGTTTTTTTGATAGCCTACTTTTATTTTCCTTTGAAACAAAATATCTTTTGGACCAATCAGGAAGTATGAAACAAAAGGACTGTTTTATTCCTTCATTTTTGTAACTTATTTCTTGTGTGACTGTGTATTCTGCAGCATGTAAGAGTTACTTTTGTGAGTATTGTGAGGTCTGGATGGTGTAATACTTCCGCATAACGTTGATTGTACTCTGTTACTGTTTTCTCCTCAGGGATTTTGTACCTTCCAAAATATCAGTTTTTTTGGCATAGTGTTAGAGGAAGCTTAAGATGAACTTAAAAGTACTATACTAACTATATAGAATTATCATATATTACTGGGAAAAAAGTTTAGGAAAAAAAAAAACCAAATTATATACAGGTGTCTTCATCTTGAGATATAAGAAAGAATTTTTTTACAGTTAGAACAACCAGTCAGTGGAAAAACCTCCTCAAGCTTGCAGAAGACCACCCCATCACCGGGGGTTTCCAAGGTGCAACAGTGCTAGATAATGTAATCAAGGCTCCATTTCCCACCAAAACTTGGACAAGGTGAACTTTAGAGGCCCCTTCCAACCTGAGCTCTTCTATGGTTCTATGTTTATTGCATGACTGACTATGAGAAAAAAAAATAAATTGTTTTCTAATGTTTTCATTTCCAGTAAATACTGGCAGTGTTTTAATCAAATTTTTATTGACTGATTTTATTGATTGAATTTAGATTAATTTTTATTTTGCTCTTTAACTTCAATACATTACAAGAATGGAAAAAATACATGTGCCAGAGTTTCAATACTTTGGCCTTTCCTGTAGCAGGTGAAGTAACTCTTGAGGGACATCTGAGTCTTGAGCTAGGAAATCTCTAAAGACCTCCATTTTACTGAACTTCTGAGGTAAAATAAATAGAAAAAAACAAAACAAAGCAAAACAAAACTTTATTTCCAGACATACTTTTTCACAGCCAGTCAGTGATCTGCATGCTCTAAAACATACAAGTCACATTACATTTTAGGACATAGATGATTCAGCTACTGGGCAAGGTCTGGAAAAATTTTACCACCACTGTTTTCCTGGTATTTAATGTCTTTTAAATTGACATCAAGCGTAACAAAAGCACCATGGACTTCAATCAGCTCTGCCAAATTTTCACTTTTGTGTTTAACTTGTGTGGAGACACCACACTCCAATAACAAAAAAGCCTAAAGCAAATAGCTACAAACCCAGACAGAGGGAGATCCCTTACTGCAATATGGACTCTATTTCATAACTGTAAGAACAGCATGACTTCCAGATTCACATAAAATCTGAGTCATATTCTGCAGAAATTTCTGGGCGTTTCAGATAATATTATTTGCAGCATGTAACTCAGAATTGGTTTCCTGCTTGTGCCATAATGAAAAATATAATGAAACATTTCTAAGCCTGTAGGAGTTAAAAGAGCTGGGGAAATCTTTCTGTGACCTTTGAATAAGTAGTATTCAGATGCTAAATTAAAGAGATCCCTGCTATTTTTGAAGATGATCAGAGTATACCACAGCTATACTGTCTTCTTCTAGTGGTATGATAGTAACTGTGTAAAACAGATGTGCCTTTTTTCAGATAAGGCTCTTTTTTTAAAAAATTGGAATGGACACATAAGCAATGTTTTACAGCACTTCCTATGTGAGTGAGAGGGTTGGGTGTAGTGCTTGGTAACAAGTATGTAATTCAGGAAGAGTATTTCCAGTCAGCATCCCCAGAACAAGACAAAAGTCTAGATACAGACCAAACAAACATTCCTACAGCTGGAGGAAACATCCTGCACAGATGCTCAGTTGTGCAGGGATGACCATGTCAGCCATGCTGTACCCCTGGGGTGGAGGGGATGACACTGGAAGGTCAGGACATTGGACAGGACACAGGACATTGGAAGGTCCTGGAGGTTGGGTGGCAGAAGGTGTCCTTTTTAGTAGACTCTGTCATGGGCTGGTTGAGAGTTTGAATCACAAAAGGGGACAAGAGGAATTTGTAAAAACTGTTTGCACTCCTGAACCCATGATGGGTGCCCACTGTAGTCACTAAAAACAAATACCTCCTGCTTAAAACTTGGCATGGAGTCATTACAAAAAAGAAAGCACAGAAAATCCTGCCAATCTCTCCTGATGCATGGCCAGAAGTATGCTAGTGCTAAGATCTGGATTGGAACGTATTTGAATTAGTTGTCCTAGTAAACTTGCACAGAGTCTTGACTAGTTTTCTGATACATAAACATCTCCTGACCTTTGGGCATCTCTTCCTAGGAATAATCATCTTCCTTTGTGTCAACAAGACTGCCACGTCTGTTCCCCCGTGAAGTAAGGCTCAATGCCACTCTCTCTTGCTAAAGTCCTGCCCAGTCCTTGGTGTTGTAGATGGACATGTTCTTTGTTGGTTAAAACTGCTCTTCATGCTCCAAAGTACCTGATAACCCTCTGCTACTGTTATTTTCACAATTGGCTTCATACAGTCTTAGTGATCTCAGAGAGGTGGCATTGGAATATCACACCACTGTGAAAGACTGAACTGTTAAGGGATAACGACTCAAAACATTCCCTTTGTGGAGAAGCCAGGATGCTTAGCTGAAATGGAGGAGGTGAGCTTTTGGGTGTGTAATGGGTAATCTCTGGTCTGATAAGACAAAGGGTAAATGACTGCTGAGTTAGGAGACAATCCTTGGAGACTGGATGGTGCCTTTTGTCATGCTAAATTCTCCTCCTCCTCCTCCTCCTCCTCCTATTTTCCTGGGCATTTTTCCCCACCATTCCTTTGGGACTTCTGCCCCCACCCAATGGATCTGGTCTGCAACCACCACTTCGACCAAGACTGTGGAGCAACCAAGTCTTGCCCCTGGGACTACAGGCCTACAAGGTACCCTCTTGTCCTTTCTCTCTCTTTCTTTTCATTTGTGCATGTCCTTGGGTGATGAACATTCATATTGCAATGCTTCCATGTTGTTATATAACTGTAGATAATAACAATAACAACCAAAATCGCTACATATCTGGTTTTCTTTGCAACCAAATTGTACTATAATAAACCCTACCTATATATATTTACAAACACCAACCATTTAGTGTTTCACTCTAAATGGTTTTTTCACTCCAATTCGCTCCAAGGGATCTATTAACAAGAACTTGGGTTACCCTTGCCTTCTGTGGCTTGTAACAACCACACATGGGTGTCTTCACCCCATTAAAACATAAAAGCAACGAGGACATGAGTCTGAAGTTATTGACCCAAAATTTACCTGAACAAGAACTGGGAAAAATGTATGCCTTAATTCAAAACAAAAAGAGTGAAAACATGCGTATCTTTGTTTTATTATTATTTCAGGTTTCTTCTTCTTTCAGGATGACTCATCTCTGTCCACAAGCCTCGTGTTTTTGTTTGTTCTGCTGCTGCCAGCTGTTGGGTGCCCATTCTCCAGATTCCTTCAGGCACCACTACTGGAGAGATTTGTCAGCCCCAGCCTGCACCAGTGAGCCTCAAGAAGTGCCTTTCCTTAAATCTTCATCATCCCCTCTCGTCTCTACTTTTCTCTTTCTTCTTTTGCCCCCACTCCTCCTTGCTCAGCTCTTTTGCCTTCAAAACAAATAGGTTGAGGTGACAGGAAGCATGTTTCTTTGCCCTGGTCACACTTACTGCTCTCCCTGCCCATTCTTCATCCCTTGCTTGGCTCTGTAAGATCATTCGAACTGCTCCCACAGGGGTGACTGCACTTTATATAAGCAGTCTTCAACTGGCTGGGTTATTCCAAATTGTTTAGCAGCCAGAAATAAAAATAGCAAAGGAAGGTAGCTATTTTTGTGATACTAAGTGACTTTTATGCTTGTGCAGTTTTAATGCTGCTATCAATAGCTGGGTTAAAGCCTAGCTAAGAGACATTGCTAGAGTAGTCTTACCATGCACAGCAGCTTATATTTCTTTCTTAACAGGATACACAGTGCTTACTGTCACAGGACTCCAGTCCCCACTCAGGATATACTGTGCCACAACTATTTTAAGTGGGTAAAGAATCACACTGGAGAATGGCTGTGTTGGTAGCAGACACAAGAGGAACAAAAAGCTTTGTCTTGGAAAGAGCACCAGAAATTGTGTGTTCATCACTGACAACTGTACAATCACACAGACTCCTTCATGGGGGACAAGCAGTCCTTCAGGTGGTTTACAAGTGTACTGGCATATATGATGCTGGTTAAGCAGTCAGGCTTTAATGAAGAGGAGTAACAGAAAAGGATAATATGCAAGAAGCATTACACAGGAGAGATGTAAAGGGATATTTCAGCATTAGGGCAACTAGCAGCAAAATAACAAATAAGGCATGTATTTGCCATTGGTTTCACTGTCCTTTAATTATTGTGTGTTTAATTTAATGTTCTTTTAAAGCGATTATTCTGAAGCACCTGATTTCTCAGGAACAGAAATCTGTTTCTTGACTTCAGAAATAAACCAGGTCAAACAGGAGTCCATCACCAGTATTACTACGTCAGTTGGAGATAGGCTTTTAAAGTCAATTAAACATCCTGAAATAATCATAAATTCCACATCATTTGTGGAAGCTACAGCTTTCCACAAAACCACACCTACACCACAAACTTTTGCCCTCATAGCTGTAATAGCTGTAGATAATTGTTTATGGCCAGCATATTTTTGTTGCCTAGCTGAATTGTGTGGGGTAGTTATACCAGGAAATAAATGTTTTTCCATGTATGGAATCAGGGAGCAGCAAGGGCCAGTTCCTTCCCAAGGGTTGGGAACACATGTAGATGCCCAGGAGACAGGCCAAGCAGAGGTTTCTCCAGCCAGGGTCCATTCCACTGCCTTCAGTGAGGGAGCTGGCAGGATGAGAGGAAGCCAGGGACAGCCCCCAGCTCAGGGCACCAGGCAGCCCCATGGGGATGGGGATGGGCTGAGGCCAGGCTGGGATGTGTGTGTTGCCAGCATGGGTCAGAAATAGGCTTGGTAAGGGGAACTAGGGTCAGATTCAGCCCTGTGATAGCCAGGCCCATCTGTTACCTAATCTCCAAAAACCAGAATAAGACTTCTTAGCACCAATTTTTTGTGTTAAAGAGGGCGTCATTTATTTAAGTGCCTGGAAGGCATGGGGGACCACTTCTCCTAACATCCCCCTGATTGTTACAATCAAGTTGCTAATATACAGTCACTACATGCATATTATGACTTGCCTATTACCATAAAAACCCTTGTCATGTTCCCCAAGTTCCCACAGTTAGTCCTTGTTTTAGCTGTAGCTCTATTCCTCAGCCAGATGTCCCATCTTTACCTTCTAACATCCTTGCATGGGGAATAATGTCTTCACGCCTTGTTTCTCTGCTAAAGGTCTGCAGACACAGTGTCTTCTCTGCTAAAAGTTCAGAGTCACACTGTCTTTCTACTAAAAGCTCACAGATACAGTAGAAATTGAACTAACCTTTTTGGTATCACATGGGCCGAAGGGTGCCCCAGGTGAGGTTGGTCAGAGCTCTTGAGGATGGTTGGTGTCCCCAGACCCTGATGTATGATGTAGTTTGTCCTCAGAGGAGAGGGAATGATGCTTGTTCCCCAGTTCCAGTTGTGCTGGTGTCAGGAGCGTGTTGCCACTGCAATAGATGCAGTGCCTTAAGTTCAGAGCTTACTCTGCCTCACACC